TCGAATTGTCAACCGTGGGGCCAGTAATCAGCTAGCCTATTCAGGTGCCTGGTTAACTTAGGAACAAGAAGACTGCCATCCTGAAGCAGTTGTATGCCATCAAGACGGGCTGGCTAGCTCCGGATCCGGATGTCGACTACGAAGCAGACCCCGTGGACGATGATGCAGACCCCGCCCACGATAATGATGCTAGGTATGAATTCCCTAAACCCTAAACCTAAACCCTAAACTTATAAAGGAATTATTCAGAATCCTTACTGCTCTGATCTGTGCACACTTCTTTTTTATCCGAGGAGGATGATGATGACAGTGCCGGCGGAGCAATGCCACTCGATGGCCCGGCCGAAGGCGAGCCAGAACCTGCCGAAGATGAATCGGTCGATGGGGAGCCACTAGAGAAGCAAGACCCTCTGTGTGACCCACGCCGCAGCCTTGCCGAGGACGACTGCTATAGGATGGACGTATGATGACAATATTTTGATCAGAGTATGCCCCTCGATCCTGAGTTTAACCCGCCCTGCAAGGATATGGAACGGTTCAAGCCGAGCTGGACAGTGCTGCTGCTGCCCTGCTGAAGGAGCTGGATGAAAAGGATCCTGTGTCGCATTGTTTAGCTTGCTTTATGCTGTCGAGCAAGTATACTGGTCTGATGCATCTATCCGAGGATGGATCCCCCAATGGGCCAGCCGATGAATCTGAATTCTTGGGTGAGCAAGATGCCCCTTGCATGAATTCCACATGACAGTATGTGTTCATGTCGTTACGATGTCAATTGAGGTCCCGAACCCCTCCGATGTCCTGAGTGAAGAAGCTCTAAAGGAGCTGGATGATATGGATGCCGAGGCTTTTCTGCAAATTATCGTTTCCCATTGCATGTTAATTAATTTATTATTTATCCCTGGCAACCTTCATGAAGTTGTCGCTGATGAGGAAGCCAGTGCCGGGAGCCCGCAGCGTGACCTGCCAGATGAAGACCGGCTGGGCTTCAAGGCTGGATTTTGCATCATGCATGTATTGCGAGTGCGGATGTCTGCCCTTGTCGATGCATGTGCAACTGTTGCGCTTTCTGCTGCTGGTCAGGACAGCAATCTCCAGCCACTCATTCCCGAGGATGCTCTGAAAGAGTATTCGCAGGAGCTGATGGAGCTGCTCGGGGATGTGAAAGTTTCTGAGGCCACTGCTGTGAATGATGTTCGTGATGAGCAGCGGAAGCTTAAAGCAACACGAAGGCAGGAGCTCAAGGACTGGTGCATTTTACATGTATCCTAGCCTAGGCCTATCGCAAGCCACTGTGTTCCAGGACGTCAAGCCCAAGGCTAAAGCTGCTTGCAAGCAGCCGGCGGAGCCAAAGAAGAAGGGCCGCGCAAAGCTGCAGATATCCAACGAGGACCTGCAGAGCAGACAAAAGGACACCGATGCGAAGAAGCTGGAGCGACTGGAAGCTGCACAGGCCGTTGCCAATGAGATGTGCAAGTTCGTGAGGGCTTCAGGAATCGAGGATGTGCAGCCTCCCTTGGGCTTCACAGCTAAGTGCCATGGACAGCATGTACACATGTCATACATGTACTGTTACCCTTGCATGGGGCCCATTGCCTAATTTGCATTCATGCCTAGATCTGATGAGCTTAGGTGCTATCAAGTGTGCCCACCGGCTGCCATCTGCAGTGCCTCGTGGAAGGTCAACCCTATAACCGTATGCTTGTCGCACTCCGGGTTCTACGTTAACCGCACCCTTCGCAAGAAAGATTGCGAGCACTGGGGTGTATCTCGACTGACACGTTCATACATGATCATGATCATATCTATCATGTTGTTTATATAGCTACCGTCCCACCTTAGGTGAAGGTGGACAATAAAGGAGGTTCGACCTTGTCATGGAAGAAGTACGGAGGATTGAAAATATCGTGACTTGGCTTGAAGATCATGATCATGTATCACCATTCCCGAAATCGATATCAGGCTGAATCTTCAAGTGCCGAGGTGGAGCCTTGCCAAGTTCCTGGCCGGCTGGACTGAGATCGATGTCGACGAGGGTGACCTCCCAAGTCCTCTGCGATCCCGTATTGCCAAGCGGAAGGCTTCGAATTCTGTTTCGCGGAATGCAGGGGTTTGGGGTAGATGATTTGAAGGCTTGCCTTGTATATTGGTTATATACATATATATGTAGATCTTTAGTGGGGCGAGCTAGCATGTACATGTCGACATCGAGTTTAGAGCCGCATTCGTCGTTGCAAGCAGGGTGCCATACATCGATCAAATAATACAGTGCATGGGTTTAAGGGTTTAGGTGTTTTAAATATATATTATATATATATATAGGATTTAGGGTATAAGCACCTTATAAAATTTAAATTGGGGTCCGTATATACATTCTCCCCAAAACAGGGCCGGTACATTTCAATCCCCTGATCATATCGGATCTATGACCGTGCAACAGATATAATTATAATTGTATAGTGTTTTTTCATTCGAACTCTAAGCTTCGATTCCCAAACCCTCAACCCCTAAAATAATCCCAAATTCTAACAGGTTATAACCCTGCAAGAGCCAGATCTTCACACCTGTAGCTCCCGCAAGCAGTCGTACTGAGCCATGATCTATTTAAAGACATTTACACCCTACACCCTCGTCAACTATTCTAAACCGGTCACACCCTGAACACATCAGGCTGCCCCAGCGAAGACACCGCAAAAGAAGACGCCGAAGAAAGCCACGGCAGATGTGAAGAAGCGCAGGCCAGCACCGTGCAGCAGCTGAGGAGCTCGAGTGCCTTGAATTCAAGGCCGTAGTTGGATACCAACTAGCCGGCTTCGATGATTTTAATCCCCTACAGGGGGGTTCCGGTCCGAATCACCTGACCCCACGAAGCTTGATGATCGATATTTATTATAGGGTCGTCCGCATGATCAGCTATAGCCGGCCGTGTAGGTGTGAACTGCAGTGATCTGGTGTGGGTCGGAGTGAATGTGGCCGGCAGGGATGCAACAACATGCATGCATATGCAGGCGAAAGCGCTATATCGAATCATGATGGTGGTCACTGCACATGAGCACGTGCACACATTCCAGCACACATGTACATTGCCCATGTCATGATCATCTTGCAGGCACGTGCTCAATGGAGCATGACGTCATGTACATGCATGGCTTGTGCAAGCATCATGAGGCTACATTTAATTTCCAGCATGCCTGCTTATGATCTTGCAATTGTCTTGCACATGTACATCTGTCACTGCTGAACAATGCCGCCGGCGCAACCAATGGATGTTGACGAGGGATCCCGTGCTAACATGGAGGATCGACAGCAGTACGGTCCACTCCAGCTGAGCTTCATTTCGACGAGTTTGCTCATGATGCTGCACGTGCCCCCTGTGCTGCTGCTTGGATGTATATATATGATAGGTCCTTTGGACCTTCAGGCATCATATGTACTAGCCGACATCGTGTGAGGACCACTCAAATGTGCACGCTAGCTGAGGGTGCATGCCGTCGATTACTGCTGCTCTGTATCGGCAAGGAGTCCGACCCCATGCATGCGGGAACCCTGATCGATATTAATGTCAACTGGCATCAATTGACTATCATATCCCTATAAGAATTCCAAGCTCAGGATCTGGATGTGCTCGAGCTCTTCTCTGGAGTGGGCTCTATCGCCAATGGCTTTCGCTACTTGCCTGCATCCAAGGGTCGACGATGATCCAATAAGACATAGCCAATTCCTTTGCAGCACGGGCTTGATCTGATATCTAGTGCTAGCCTATCATGTGATCGCATTAATCGGGCTATTGATCGTAATGGGATTTCTCCGGTACGGGTCAGAACCAGACATGCTAGTACTGATCAGAAATCGCGACGAGCTTCAGGCCTTAAACCTTGGAACCTTGAGGTTGGGGGAGAGCGATAGATGTCTTCAAGTCTTATCCTAGCTAGGGTTCTAGTGTTTTGTGAGCAAGGTTTAGTCGAGGGTCAGAGGCATCCGGTCACTTCAGCCTCGATCATATAAGGTTTAGGGTCGAGGGTTTAAGGGATTTAGGGTTTTAGGGTTTGGGTTTCGGGTTTAGGGTTTCGGGTTTAGGGTTTTAAGGTTTAGGGATTTAGGGTTCTAGGGTTCGATTTAGGGTTCTAGGGTTCGATTTAGGGCTCTATCCTAGGGTTCAGGGCTTTGGCGTTAGGGTCTGGGGTTTAGGCTTTGGGGTTTGGGGTTTAGGGTCTACTGGTACTACTATTCCTGCTGCTGCTGCTGCTGCTTTTAAATTTACTACTATTACTACTACTACTACTACTACTACGACTA